ATGTCAACAAGAGGCCAAGTAGGAGTATGACTGTGTGGATTCCATTGAACTCACACTGATTTCATTTCAATTAGCGCGTCTTTAGTAAGGGCAGCACCGTGGGCTGAGTGTTGAAGGCCTGCCCTGAGATGTGATGATAGTTCGAGGTGGGGCCTTTGGGAGGTGATTGGGTGAGGGTGGAGGAGGCCATGAGGGTGGGATCTGAGTGATGGGATTAGTGCTCTTCTAATAAGAGGAAGAGCAACCAGAACCTACCCCTCCCTCCACCCGCCCACCCCGCCATGTGAACACACACCGAGCAGGGGGCTGTCTGCAAGCAGGGAAGAGGGATCTGCTGGCATCTTCATCTTGGACTTCTCAGCTGCCAGAATTGTAAGGCAGGAAGCCATGTGGTATTCGGTTATAGCAGCCCACACTGATTAAGACAGGCGGTATCAGGGGCAGGACCCGGTGAGGCACTTAGGGTGCAGGATGGTGTGAAGAAGCTGAAGAAGCACTCCTGGTCAGGGTTGTGCGGATGGAGGCTCAGCACTCAAGCGGCCCTCAGTGTGGGCGCCTCCTACACTGTGCACCCAAGCGCCTCCCTTGTCTCACACTAGTCCCAGCCGTGGGGAGTGCACTCTATAACCCAAGTGAAATGGGCTCAAATAGACAAGACAAAAAGCAAACAGATTGTGTCACCGAGAAGGGGATGGTTCTATTTCTAGCTCCCTCTCCAGTCCCACCTTCTCCTTTCTTGGCTTTGTTCTCATTTTGGAAACAAGATGGCCATGGACAGCTATGTGTCTCAGTGTTTTCATCTACTTACCCCAGGGAAGATTTTGATTGGGTCTTCTAGTCCATCGCTGTGCAATCCCTGCGTCCAATGGTGGCCTGTGCTGATTGGCCAGACTTGATCAGGTGTCCAGGCCTGCGGTGGGCAAGGTAATGGCCCATCCCCATCCACTCCACCAGAATCACTCAGTTAGAAGAGCAGTAAATCCCAAATGACAAGACTAGACCCAATGGCCAAGGTCACTTTCTCTTTTGTCGCCGGTAGTTTCACAGCAAAATGCCATAGAATTTTCTCAAGTAATCTGGGGCTTTTAGGTATATCTATCTAGAATGTAGTTGAGATGCCTGAGGCTTCAACTCACAGAACAATGGTGCCTTCGACAGGACTCCTTTGGTTGCAATGGACAGAATACCTCAGTCTGAGCTGGTTTAAGCAAAAAAAGAATTTTTTTTTAGCTTGTTTAATTAAATCACCTAAGAATGGCACTGGGGAGGCAGAAAGTGCCAATTGACCTGTCCAACACCAATTCTGATTTGTTCTTTTAGAAATCCATCCATGCCAGAATGGAGATTGCATTCCCTGTGCTCCCTTGGAGAGAGGTGTGGCCATGTGACAAAATAGTAGTCAGTGGGATTCGAGAGGAAGAGGGATTTGAAACATCTGGGGCCACTTTTATTTGGAGGCTGCTTTCCCTCCGTGCTCTCTTCCGCTCCCTGGGAAGGGCAGTGACTACACCCAGCAGGTGCGGACTGAGCTTCTATCTCCCCAGGCCAGGCTCCCACCTGGACGGTTTCATGAGAGATAAGGAAACTCATATTCAACTGAAGTCATTGCATTTTGGAGTCTGATTGCGATACCAGCCTCACATGTGCTTAAATAATGTAATAGGTTCGTGGGGTGCAGGATAAGGGGGTTGGGATGGTGTCATTGGGATTTGGTTTGCTTCTCTTTATCTCTTGTTTCTGCTGCTTCTCTGTGGCCTCCACTCTCACAGCTCCTGGGACCCATCTAGACTGCATCTCAGCCTCAGTGAGTCTTTGTCCCAGGATTCAGTAAAAGTAACACAATGAACCCTAATCAGACAGTGTAGGTCACATGCCCAGGTCTGCACCAATCGGTGAGGCCAGAGGAAGGCAGTGTGCTAGGCTACGCACCTGTCTTTCTGCTGCTTCTCTGTGGCCTCCACTCTCACAGCTCCTGGGACCCATCTAGACTGCATCTCAGCCTCAGTGAGTCTTTGTCCCAGGATTCAGTAAAAGTAACACAATGAACCCTAATCAGACAGTGTAGGTCACATGCCCAGGTCTGCACCAATCGGTGAGGCCAGAGGAAGGCAGTGTGCTAGGCTACGCACCGCACCTGTTGGGGAGCTGTGGGTAGCGAGGAATGCTGACCCTATTGGAAAAGGGGGGCCTGGATGCCGAGGAAGCAAACAGAAATGGATACTAAAATAAGAAGTTCTAAGTGGTGAAAACCGAGTTAAAATGGGGGTTGGCATGATGATGTTTTGTGTGTCTCACTTGTCTCCAGTGAACCTGCAGCGTGTGGGAGGGACTGTGCCTGGTTGGCAGGTGTGGTGGAGCCAGGCAGCTCTGTGAGCTCTGCTGACACTGAGCATCTCTGAGAACCATTCCTTCCCCTCCTGCCACGTGTGCCCTGCACATTCCGGGGAAGAGTCAGTAGCCGTCCATCCCATGAATAATAGAGCACAGCCTGTGCATCTTGCATGCGTAGCAGCCTGACTTCCCCCAAAACAAGTAAAACCATCGACTGAATTGAACTTGGCAATTAAAAAAAAATCCTTCTGAGCCCTGACCAATCAAGTCAGAGTGAGGGGCAGGGCAGACCCACGTCAGGAAAGAAAACCCAAACGACTTCCCATTTGGTGTGCTTTGCCCATGATTTTCAGCCGGCAACCGCGCCCTTCTGCAGAAGTAAATTTGTCTTGCCGATAAAACAAACAAACAACAAAAAAAACCCTGCCCTGGCTGGTGTGCTCAGTGGTTAGAGTGTCAACCCTATTTCCATTCTTGGTCAAGGGCATCTGCCTGGGTTGCAGGTTCTATCCCTGGCCCTGGTTGGGGCGCGTGTGGGAAGCAACCAATCAAAGTGTCTCACATGGATGTTTCTCTTTCTTCCCCCCCACCCCCTCCCTTTCACTCTAAAAAAAAAAAATCAATGGAAAAAATATCCTCCGGTAAGGATTAACAACAACAAAAAATAAAATAAAAAATAAAAAAGTCAAAAAAAAATCCCTGTCTCTTCACATTTAATTTGCTATTTTCTATAATTTCCTCACTTCTAGCTTAATTATTTATGGATGTTGATTATTCTCAACATTAACTACTAAGGGCAAGATTTCTCAGTCTCAGTTTTTTCAGTAATTATTTCTACCTGGAGCCATTCGCTTCAAGCTCCTCCTGTCTAAATCCCTCACTGTTTCTATGATACTGTGGGTTCAGTCTCCAAATGATGTGTTGGACCAATGCCTTCCATGAACAGGTCTATTTCATGGCAACCATGGACAGTGGTGTGTGTGTGTGTGTGTGTGTGTGTGTGTGTGTGTGTGTGTGTTTAAATTCTAAGCCTTCAATGAGAATTCTCTAAATGATGTTATCATTTCCTCCTCTTTTGGTGAGAGGTTTAAAGGTAAAACATCATTTCCATCCAATGACGACATGCTGACAGCTGGCGGTTGGTTACTCCTGAGCAGAAAGAGTTTCCCTGCCACAGTACTTGCCTTTGGCTTGTCCCAGTTTGGTCTCAGTTCCCCTATGACACATTCTTGGGTTTTTCTCTTCTTTAACTGACACCCATCGAACCCGGGTGACTAAAAGCTGGTGCTCCCAGGGAGAAAAGAGAGACTCGTATAGTACATCAGCCGGTCAAAGAGTCACTAAACATGGGTTTTTCTTCTCAAGAGCTCTGACCAGAGGTCCCCCAGCCTCGGTTTGTCACCTGCAGTGAACAAGAATTGTCACTTTTCTGATGCCGTATTTGCCTGTTCGGATAGTGCAAATGATTAGCAAGGCCTCCTCAGCCACCGACTATGACACCTGCTCTTCAGAAGGGGGACAGGACAGTGTTTCCCCGCCGAGCCCGTGCGACCTGGGGCAATCCCTTCATTCTTCTGAGCTTCAGTTTCCCCAAAATGTGGGTGCTAGTATCGTCCTCACTATTCATTTAGCAGGATCAGCACCCCGTGCAGCCCTTGGAGCCCCAAAGATGTTAGCGGCTATCATCAGCTCATGCCACTTCAGGAAGGAAGGCCAGTGGGGTGAGCGCCAAGCCTGGCCCCCCTTAATGTTATTCTCTAGGCAGGAACCCATGATGGTCATGAGCGGAGCTCTATTGCCAGGCTCTGGGGGCCAACTATGGACCTGCTATTTACTCAAGGGGGGACCCACCTCCCAAAGTCCAGGGTGGCGTTAAAGGGTTTAGGACGGAGCCTGGTACTAAGGATTTATCGAGCACCTGCCCTGGGCCAGCCTTGGGGGGTACACGTGACACCAAGTCTTAGCCCCTGGGCAGCATTTTCCCCTGGGAAAGACAGGCTCACACAATAAAAATGTGGCACCCGATGTCACCAAGGCTGGGTCCAGGACGCCAAGGAGACCCGACGGAGCGTGCAGCTTCAGCCCTGGCAGTATCCCTGCCCGCATATACCAAGGTCAAGGCAAACCATAGCAACACCACCTCCCCAGATGCACACACAACAGAGGTAAGATTCAGCCCTTCTCCGGGAAGGGATGGGGCTAGAGGGAGAGGCCGGGTAGGCGGCGGCTGCAAAGAAGTGAAATTTCCTCTCCTCCTAAAATAAGCCACTGGAGTGAGAAGAGAGGGAGCAACGTCTCCTAGGGCTGACGGCGAGGTGCTGGGTCGGCGGGGCGTTCTCGGGCAGGGAGGAGGGGCGCAATCGCTAGGGGAAGCGGGACGGCCAGGTGGGCGGGGGCCGG